AGCGAAGGCATTAAATCCTGAGATGGGAGCATTCTGGAGGAATCTGCTCAATGCTGGAGGGGAAGGCAAGGGGAGCGTTCAGATGAGGCTTTTTTGGTCCTGAACCAGAAAATTATAACCACCTTTTGCTTCCACTCCTTGATTAATAATTCTTAACATGTTTTTATTGTACATTTATCAACATTCAGAGTAGATTTGTACTCTTGTGCTTTCAGCAGCCTTAAAGCATCTTCTTATTTTGGGTGTATTTTTAACAACCCACTCTCAATCTTTCGGAATGACACTTTTATCATTAATTGATTGTCCAGGTTGCTAACCTTTTTTTAGAACTAAATTTAGAAGGGAAGGTCCGGACCACCCCAGTTGTTGAATTCATCAGAATTTCTGTAGCCGCAAGAGTGTCTTTTTAGTAAAAGGGTTCCTCAAGAGAGCATCTAAGTATAGTAGTAGGACGAAATTGGAGTGTGGACAAAACAGAAAATCTTTTCTTTGAAAGCTGAACCGATTGTACTACAGAAATTCTGCTGAGCTCTTTTGGATTAGCTGCAGTTCAACTGGAAAAAAAAACTGGACTCTTGGTTGTTTTAGCAGCTAGCAGAAGTAACATTTAGCAAACTGATTTTACAGGACAAATAGAATAAGATGGTGGGTGTCAGTCCCTCTTCACATGATTCGTTCACTACCCTACCTCCACCATCTTCTCAGGGTCTTGCCTTCCCAGCTGTGGCTGATATTTCCCAAGAAAACCCCCTCCTCCTCCACCACAGAACTTATTTTCAGAACAAAAATGTTTGAATTGGTTCCTGTGTGTGCACCGAAACACCAGAGACCACATGATTTGGTTTGGGTTAAACTATGCAAAACTTACTGTTTAATTCACCGATTGGGTCACAAGGGAAGAGTTTTGCGCAGTCCTAGATGCAATGAAGATACCGTATGATAGGCAGAAAAATGGATGGGGCAATTAATTGGGAGTGTTTCATTATATGCATAATTCCAAACACCATCGTATCTTGCAGTTTCTTATCTCTCAGAAGTATCATTTCTTTTTGAGCTAGATGGGAACAGACTCGATTAATCAAGAAGTGTGTCACTGTAGCACCCAGGGCCAGAAGGGATGCTAATGAGATATAATAATAGTGCAAGGGCAAGTCTAGGAATTCCCCCTCCCCCTAAGTGGAACCTGGTTATGATACAGCCTACAAGAGGGCAGCCTTCCACATAGGAAAATATAAGTGCCCTGGTAAGAGAGAGTTTACTCATTGGTAATGCCCATGACTGTAAGTCACCAGTTCTACTGTACTTATTTGTGTCTAGTGGAAATTATGCAAAGTGCATGCATTAATGCTCATTTGCATACTTTGCTTTGATGGCATAGTATATGGGACTCTTTTTTTTTTCATTTGGAATTATGTCAACAGTTGTGGGTCTGTGAAAATTTGCAGTAGAATTTACCTGTACGCTTTTCCTTGTGGCTAAAACATTTCTGTGATTTGTAATCCGTAGAAATTTCATCAGTTCTGTCCAGTTGCGGAAGACACTTACCTTTAACTTCCACTGACTAACCAGCTTCAGAAACACCTGCAATTTATTTATAAACTGGGCAGCAATACTTAACTCTCCTCTAATGCTTGATTATATATTCATTAGAATCTAGCTTTAGTGTGAATACTTTTGCCGTCAATCCCTCTTGCCTCCCTTATTCATTATAGAGAGTTTCAGGCTTCTTTCAAATTGAAGCTTTAATCTTAAACTTTCTTGCCATAAAAGTCAGGCTTGAGAGAAAGCTGGTTTTCTCCTCCTTCAGCAGAAGAGTAACTCTGTCTTTTGGAAACCCTGCTTGAATCTGTCTCAGGTAAAGGAGCAATATGTGCCTTTTAGTGCTTGGGCTGCTCTTTGCTGACTATTCATAACTCCAGGCTTGTGAAAAGCATTCATGAGATTGCTCTTATATTAATTAAGTGGAAGGTTTTACCGCTTTGATCAGAATTAGATTGGTCAAGGGGACCAAAAAAAAAAAGGTTGATAGGTTAAGCCCCAGTGGTGGCGAAAACCTATGGCACGTGTGCCAAAGGCGGCACTCAGAGCCCTTTCTGTGGGCACGTGTGCCGTCGCCCCGGCCCCACCTCCCCCCACAGCCCCCTCCTCACCAGCAGCCCCCCTCCCAGAGGAGAGTCGCCCCCGAGCGTGGCCCACGCAGAGCAGCGCAGCCAAGGGCATGGCAGCCAGGCAGCGGGGAAAAGACTCTGCCCTCGTACCCTGTCGCATGCAGTTGATGATGCGGGGCGTGGGTGTAGGGCATGGCCACCATGGCACTGCTGGTCCGCCTGGGCGATCTGTGTGGAGGTGGTGAGTGGCCGGGCGGGTGGGGGTGGGGTGGGGCAAAGCGGGGCGGGGGCGGTTTTTGGGCACTCGGTCTCTAAAAGGTTCGCCATCACTGGGCTAAGCTGTTAGCTCTTCTACTGGTTTAAATAAGTGCTGCTTGCTCTTCCCTATTATCGATGCTGTAACATAGCCTGATATTCTTTCCTGCTGTTAATTTTCCTTTCCTTTAAATTGTGCTTCTCAGGAAGAATGCTTAGATGATAAACCTAGCAAGTTATTAGCCATCAAGTAGAGCCAGTAGACAAACATCTATTAATTTCTGAATTGCTGCTGCTGCTATCTTCTACAGACAAGAGATAACCTCCTCGTTTGGGAATATGGGAGATCCACAGTTAGTGTCTCCTTTCTCTCTTCCTTGTTCACCCAGGGAACTGTAGGAGACAAACCACATCCTACACCACAAAAAGCACCTTGCCAAATTAGGGATTAGGCTAATTTAACCACAAATAAGATAAAGGGCAACTCACAGGCTAGTTCAGGGATAAGCAACCTTGGCTCTTTTATGACTCGTGGACTTCAACTCCCAGCAACAATTCCATGCTGGCTCAGGAATTCTGGGAGTTGAAGTCCACGAGTCATAAAAGAGGCAAGGTTGCCTACCCCTGGGCTAGTTGAATCAGTCTTAAAAAAAATGTTCTACCCATTTACTGACTATCCCATCCTTTGCTTTGCTTATCAAAAATACACATGGGCAGGATCCATTGCCACCCGTCCAAGCAGTGCTAATATGGGCTGTCCCTTTAAAATCATTTTCAGCATCTACCTTTTTAATTAGGGTGGGAAAAGAGTAATGAAAAGAATGGTGTAAGAACTTAGCTTTTACTGTTATGCTTATTTGGGGTTCAGTTTCCACTAACAAATGTGAAATACGTAATAGAGGATGGTGGTCACACTGGATTGATTTTAACATGAAACAGAAAGTTATAACTCTGTTCACTTGAGTTAGATGTAAAAGGTTAAAAGAAAAGAGTTTGTTCTTCAATTTCCATTAAAAAAAAATCCTAGGTTTGAGTTCTGGAGTCCAGCCTTTGTTGTTTTGACCGGCTTAGTTGAGCTAGAACAGGGGTGTCAAACTGCCGGCCCGCGGGCCAGATGCATCTNGGTGGGGGTGGGGTGGGGCAAAGCGGGGCGGGGGCGGTTTTTGGGCACTCGGTCTCTAAAAGGTTCGCCATCACTGGGCTAAGCTGTTAGCTCTTCTACTGGTTTAAATAAGTGCTGCTTGCTCTTCCCTATTATCGATGCTGTAACATAGCCTGATATTCTTTCCTGCTGTTAATTTTCCTTTCCTTTAAATCAGTGTTTCTCAACCTTGACAATTTTAAGGCATGTGGACTTCAACTCCCAGAATTCCACAGCCAGCAATGCTGGCTGTGGAATTCTGGGAGTTGAAGTCCACATGCCTTAAAATTGTCAAGGTTGAGAAACACTGCTTTAAATTGTGCTTCTCAGGAAGAATGCTTAGATGATAAACCTAGCAAGTTATTAGCCATCAAGTAGAGCCAGTTTATGACAAACATCTATTAATTTCTGAATTGCTGCTGCTGCTATCTTCTACAGACAAGAGATAACCTCCTCGTTTCGGAATATGGGAGATCCACAGTGTCTCCTTTCTCTCTTCCTTTTTCACCCAGGGAACTGTAGGAGACAAACCACATCATACACCACAAAAAGCACCTTGCCAAATTAGGGATTAGGCTAATTTAACCACAAATAAGATAAAGGGCAACTCACAGGCTAGTTCAGGGATAAGCAACCTTGGCTCTTTTATGACTCGTGGACTTCAACTCCTAGCAACAATTCCATGCTGGCTCAGGAATTCTGGGAGTTGAAGTCCACGGGTCATAAAAGAGCCAAGGTTGCCTACCCCTGGGCTAGTTGAATCAGTCTTTAAAAAAATGTTCTACCCATTTACTGACTATCCCATCCTTTGCTTTGCTTATCAAAAATACACATGGGCAGGATCCATCGCCACCCGTCCAAGCAGTGCTAATATGGGCTGTCCCTTTAAAATCATTTTCAGCATCTACCTTTTTAATTAGGGTGGGAAAAGAGTAATGAAAAGAATGGTGTAAGAACTTAGCTTTTACTGTTATGCTTATTTGGGGTTCAGTTTCCACTAACAAATGTGAAATACGTAATAGAGGATGGTGGTCACACTGGATTGGAAAATTGTACTTTGTCTTTCAATATTGAGACAAGTGAACTCAATCTACATTTTCCAATTTTCTTTTCTCAAACAAGAAGTTAAAGGTAATTTTTTTTTAGGATCCAAACTCAAGACCTCAGGTCGGAAACAACAAAACTGGCCGAATCAACTCGATCTTGTCCCCACAGTTTGACGGCCGGGCGCCCGGTCTACGTAGACGTGGAAGCGGCACCCACCCCAGTTCCGGCAAGGGGGAAAAAGTCACGACATGTCACGTGATGCAGCGAGTTTGACACCCCTGAGCTAAAAGATATCATGTGTTTGGCAAGAGAAAACTACTGAATCTTCAGAGAGTTGTTGGGACTAGTTTTAAATACTGTTTCTTATTGCCCTGAATGTGCCATACTGGTACCATGTTGATCAAGTGATGGAATCCTTAATTATAACTCTGTTCTTCTGTCTTCTTCAGATGTGTACACCCAGCAATACTCCAGCCACGCCACCCAACTTCCCAGACGCTCTAGCAATGTTTTCCAAGCTGCGGACTTCAGAGAATCTCCAGAGCAGCAATAGTCCCATTACGTCCATGGCATGTTCTCCTCCAGGGAGCTTCAGCCCTTTCTGGGCCTCTTCGCCTCCCAACCACCAACCTGCCTGGATCCCTCCTTCATCACCCACCAGCCACAATCTCCACCATCATCTTCATCATCAGCAGCCCATGTGGCCTCCTGTGTCTCAGCCAGCACCCCCCCAGCAGAAAGCCATGGCAGCAATAGATGGCCAGAGATAAGACTTAACCTTTTTGAAATGGGAAAGAAGATGGGGCAAGGGGGGGGGAGAAGAGGATATGGCAAATCTGAGGCACGGGAAAATGGGAGGGGGCATTTTTTTTTTCTCTGAAGATCGCACTGGAATATTTTATAGTTTGTTTTTTTTTTAAATTGATGATATGTCATCAGTTTTATCCCCATGATCCTTTTCTTCTTTTTTTCTTCTTTTTCTTCCCCTATCCGCTCTTCAGGAGAGTTAATAACTGGTCTCTTCTCTTTTTTTAAAAAGAAAAAAAATATATATAACTATAATATATAAATATATAAATATATCTAATGTATATACATCACAGATGAAAGCAACGTAATTGCAAAGATCCAGGTGGTATTCTAAGAACGCTGCTTGGAAAGAGAGGCAGCTGCGTTGAAAACAGAATAAAGGTGCCTCCCTTGAAACATGTAGGGTGTGTGTGGGTGGGGGGGCTCAAAAATTTGGGGCTCTCTTGTTTTTGTTGTCCTCTTCTTTTCCCGTTGGTTCCCGGGGATGGGGCAATACCTGTAGCAGCTAGAGGGTTGAGGGGCCTTGGGAAAAGAGTCATTGAAGGAAGCCATTCCTCCAAAGTTGTAGCTGCCCTTGTCCTTGTGTGAAGAGACCAGGGCTGGAAGATGTTGCAGCTGAGACACGGGCACTTCAGAGGCCTATTTGGCAGAAGATTATCTGCTGAAAGAATCTAGCCTCCCCTCTCCCATCAAAGGGGGGGGGGTGATTTTTGTTGTTAATTTTATGCGGCAGAGGCTGCTCCACAGACTTTTTCTGTAGGCCACAGAGGAGAATCTGGAAAGAAAGAATGAAATAGGGGCAAAAACGCCTCTGCTATTAGACAGTTTGGGGACTTTCCTCTTCAAACAGCATGTTGAGTTTGGCCCACAACTTTGTGTACATATAAGTCTATTTTTTTTGCTCTCATGCCTTGGGCAGGAATTAATATATGTGCACTCTTAACAAAATAATTTTGATAGCCAGCTTTTTCTCCCTGCGCAGGATGGATTTTTTGCCCCCTTGGTGGTGTTTTTTTTTTTTCTTTTAAGAAGGGGAAAGATGCTCTAATGTGAGTACAATTTTTTTATCCACACTCCCCCATTTTGGCCTATTGAAACTTTCATGATGGCTGCAACAGGTACATCCCAAATCACTGAAACTTGTATCTTACCATGAACTGAAATATCTTCTTTCCCTCCTTCCCTCCCTCCCTTCTTCTTGGAAAGAATTTCCCCCTTCAACTCTTCCGGCTGATTCCCTTTAAAAAGGACAATGTTTAAGCATTGGGGAGGCTCATCCAGAAGGGAAACAGCTTAATTTTTCAAAGGCATATGCACCACGGAGACACAAGCTATTACAGAAGATGGATCTGTTGAAGGAAGGCTCCTGAACGCTCCCTTCAATCCAGTGGCAGGCCAAGAGTTGAGGTTCTACATTTTTTAGGTTTTAAAATCAGAATCTTGCTTAAACAGGTTGAAGGTTTTTTATTAATTTAAAAATAAAAAAAAACACTTTTTTAATCTGACTGGTCCTTGTTTTTTGTCCTTTCAATTAATTGTTGCTGGAGATCCTCAGCATAAAAATAGACGACGTCTCTCAAGTCTCATAATTAAGCATTTATAAGAAGGCAACATGTCACATTGCAACTGCTGGCTGAGTTTGTGCAGATAAGCCAACAGTTGTCAGTATTATATTTGCATTCTGCCAGAATTACTATTGCATTGCAGAATTATTTTTTTTATAAAAAAAACAACACTTTGATGCCATGTTCTTTAGCCTAAGCAGTTTAACAGAGCAGTCCGCCCAGGAAGTATCAGGAAGAGCTAATGGTAGAGAAACTGCATAACCAAGAGGGCCAGAGGGAGGGGTGGCACTTTGCCCTTGTTGAGTTGTTGGGTTTTTTTTTTTCTTTTTCTTTTAAAAAGTTTCCTGTGGTTCCACCAGGAAACAATATATGCCACCTCCAGAGCTGACATAATTCTTTCCCCAGGGTCTAGAATGACATCTCGTAGTGATTGAGAGCTTCCCTTAGCAAAGGGTGCAGGGGGTGCTTTAAACTTCCTGGAGTATTAAAAAACTAATTTCACCCTTAAAACCACCGTTTCGTCCTACCCACATCACTCAAAGAAGAAAGTTGGGTTTGACAGTTTCAGCTTCATCCCTCAGGGAGTACTTTGGCTACAATGTAGAGGGACAACATATCTGCATCCATATGTTATCAGTTGTCTACCTCTGACTGAAAGGAATCTTCTGTCTTTTCAGACCAGTGGCATCTCAGCAATTCTGAGAGGGTATGAATAGTGCTGTCAAACCAGCTGCCTTCACAGCGGTGGCCAATCACAAAATGTCTTTGTAATGGAAAGCAAAAAAGCTTTTGAGTTACCATCTCCCATTTCCCCCCCCCCTACCATTTTTTAAACAATCCTTGTGGGAATTAGGTGGGGCCCAGAAGCATAGTTGAAAGTGCAGGTTATGCTTGAGCTGTTGCTTTTGAGTGTGCCAGCTTCCTGTACATTACTTTTAATTCTAATGATTTAAAATTTGGTAAAGAAGGGATTTTGGCAAGTGCCAAGGATCTTGTTGGCAGGCAGATTGTTCTCCCCAGGCAGCCTGTTGATGTCCAGAGGTGATAACGTTAGAATAAGATGAGAAGAGCCAGGTTCAGCCATGGAGCTACTCAGCCAAAGCTGAATTTCAGTAGTAATGTTAGCATTTTGCCTAATCACCTTATGTCAGTTGAAAGTTGATTTTGATTACCTGGATTTAGCACAAAAGCCTGACAACATGGGTTCAAAGGCAGCAGTAATAGCTGAATGAACCAGAGCAAAGCCTTGATTCTCAACTCTGCTGGTCTGTGGCTTGAAATGAATGCTATCAACAGTGAGCTCATCATGTAGGCCAAGGAGGCTGAAAGCTGTAGCTTGTCTAAAATGTGTTTGTAGCATCTGCTGTCCATATGCTTCAAGGGAAAGGTTTTGCGACATAACACGGGGCAGAAAGGACTATTTTCTGTAATTGCATATTTGTTGACATGCTTATTGAGTTACATACTCTGATGTACATTTTTCACTTGTTCCGTAATTCAGACTAGGATTATGGGCATGAGAGAGTGGTAATGTGCTCAGAGGTATCTTCTCTAATTCATGGTTTGCTTCTCATACCAAAGACCATACTGAACTTATATGGCTTCCCACCCACAACAGAGAGCTCTGATTGTGCAAACTGAAGATCTTCTGCCTTGTTGGGTACAGAACAGCTACCAGGGTGTTACAAGCAGTTAGACTGACTTGAATAACCCGGTTTCTTCTGCATACACCCCCCCCCAACACATAACATGTTTCAAATGCTTCAGTGGGTATAAAATGTGAAGGGAGGGGACTAACCAGTGTTTGTTACTATGATATTACAGAGCTTTGGACTGTCCACATATCTTTAAGAAGATGTTTCCTTATTCCACTCACAAAGGAGATTCAGGATGAATCTTTGTGTCCAGGCTCAAGAAGCAGCTGATAAATTACAATGCAATATAGCATGTAAGCAAGAGTTAACTGGGCAGCTGTTGCTAATGTACTGCTTATTGCTTCTTGAAAGCACAGCTGTGGCAAAAGGTATTTTGGGAAGGAGAGAAGAATGGAATTGGCTGCTTGTATTATAAGACGTTTGGCTTCTGTCTGCTACACTTGGGTGTCTTTGTTGTACGTTGTCTAGGGGTAAAATGACATGGTTTTAGTCATCCAGGCTTATGCTGTAGAAATAAATTTTCATTTGAAAAAATAGAAATATATAAGTGTTAAAGAAATTTCCAAGAATATACATATATCGATGGGACTTGTGATAAAGTGATGCAATATAAAGTGGCTCTTTTTAGGATGCCAGCCAGCCAAACAATACCGTTGTCTGGCATACCCCATTCTATGCACCTATCCGGATTTAGCTGCATCCTTCTTCCCTTTAAATTTATTCTATGTATTGTGGTCATTGAGTATTTCAGACCACTTTATCTCATTTGAGGTATCTTCCATCTATTGTCTTTTTCTATTTTTTTTTTTACTTCGGTGTTCTCTGAAGCCTACTAATTTCTATCTTCTAATTCTCTTTCCCAGTCTCTTGCATTTGAATTACTAATAGAATAAGGTGCTACTGCATCTAAATGGTAATATTATGGCTTTCTCTGCACATCTTGCTTCAAGTATTATGAGAGAGAGAGAGAGAGAGAGAGAGAGAGAGAGAGAGAGAGAAAATCTTCCTTACTGTAATATCCAGTGTCATAATTATGATGTGGATGGGGGAATTCATTGCTGAGAACAATTTCCTGGAGCTTTAACTTTGAAATTCTAACTCAACCGTTTAGAAGTATCAGACTGTTAAAATATTTCAGTAAGGTGCATTACAAGACAAATATATTTAGAATTACACCCTATCAGATTTTTTTTAGCAGGCCTCCAGAAGCTTCAAAAAAGTACTATAGAACAGAAGCCCCAACATCAAAACCAATCTATTGCCAAGTGCAGGACATCCATTCTTAGAACTACGAGAGAACAAGTTTGCTAGGTAGCTAGATTTGATAGTTAAACTTTAGAATAAGTGAATGTGTGATAAATGTTTATGGAATGGATCCTGCAAGGACAAAATATATGGGTATATGTGATTTACAGGTAGTCCTTGATTTACGACAGTTTATTTAGTGACTGTTAAAGTTATAATGGCACTGAAAAATGTGACTTACGACTATTTTTCACAGGACCACTGCAAGCTATGGTCACGTGATCAAAATTTGCCCCGCTTGGCAGCTGGTTTGTATTTGTGACGGTTACAGTGTCCTGGAGCTATTTGATCACGTTTTGTGACCTTCTGACAAGCAAAGTCAATGGGGAGGTCAGATTCACTTAACGACGAGATTACAAACTTAACTGCACTTAACAGTTATGGCAAAAAAAAAACAATAAAGTAGAGCAAAACTCACTTAAATGTTTCACTTAGCAACAGAAATTTTGGACTCAATTGTGGTCGTAAGTTGAGAGGACTACCTTTATTTTTCAAAACAGTTGAAGGTTTCTATTCATCAAGGCAG